ATTCACTCTAAGTGATTTCCCCTGTTCCTTCACAATTTTCTGAAGCAAGAGATTGAAAAAACTTCACCTGGCACCATGGGGCTGAGAGACTAAATACAGTCCTCAACCAGATTCAAGAAATGAGGAGCTTGTACTGGAGATGTAAGCGAAGGTAGCCCCATTACAGATGGGTAGCCCCAGCATACCTGTTCTTCACCAGGAGCTGGAAGCTAGGGAAGCACATGAACTTGCAAGAGTGGGGAAAGGAGGCTAGGAAAGATAGAAGGGCAGCTCTAGCCACTTATATAATCAGAAGGCATACAGAGGAAGAAGTATCTATTAGGATCACTAAGAAATAACATCTACACTTTAAGGTTTTATTTTATATCACCTGGGTAACAAAGAGAAAGGATGCTCAGTTTGGCCAGCTTTAACTCACCCACAGCATGAGCTTGTCAGGTTGCTGTGGAAGCAACAGGCAAATGAAGAGCTCAGGACAACAGGGTGCACATCACTACTGCCAGCCAAGGAAAGCAGAAAAAGATATCAGGGTATGGTATCCTTTCCTGCTCCTCTGCAACTTTCTTTAACTTCTGCTTGTGGGAGGCAGGTGGTGACCCAGCCTGTGGTTTTGGAAGGAGGAATGGATGGATTTGTAGAAACAGACTTCACTGCTCTTCTGTACAGAGGGGACCAGATTAATGCAGAAAGTTGTGTCATGGAGTACGAGGGTGAGGTGTTTTGTCCACATGCCTGTGCAGAGGAGTAAAACATGAAAGGGAGGGGGTTGAGTATGTGGTTATGCAGAGCACCCAGCTATTCTCACAGGAGGTAACACTCTCAGGGTTCACCAGCAACCCAATGAGGGGGAAAAGTATGTTATATAAATTGAAATAGCTTTGGTGGGAGAGTTAGAGCAGCCATATGGGAACATAACAAGGAGAGCACTTTATGAAATGTATGTCCATTCAGCAGATGACAGAACTAAAATGACATCTTCCACAGCATTTGAGAGGGAAGCCTTCCTCCCTGATCTCCACCTCACCCCACAGCCACCATTTGGTAGATTGTTCTTACATTGACCAGCTTATTTGACAAATACAACCAAAGTATATCCCTTAAAAAGAGACTTAATTTATATTAGGGTTCTTTCTTTAATATGGGTGCTATATAGAAAGCCCTATTTTCTTTTCCTTAAAAATCAACTTTAAGCTAAATAGTATTTTTAAAATATAATACGTGGCTCCTGTCTTGCATTTTCCCATTCATCACATTTGACTGATTAGAAGGCCTAATGCATTTATTGAAAATGAACAAACAAAAAAACACTGGAACCAAGACATCAATAATTCTAACTTTGTTTCTTACTAAACATGGGCTTGTATGTTGGTTATATTGAATAGTTGTGGTTTATTTGAAGCAGGCCATTTGCTTTACTGCAAATTATCTGATTATTCCAGCAACTTAAGAAAACGATTTTCTAAATAAAGCTTATTTCCATTCTTTCATTATGGAAAATAGATAATAAAAACATTACTGAAGAGTTCTGTCCTAGCTTTTTTTCTAATTTGTTTCATTTTTCTTGTAGCTGCTTTCTCTGGCCCTTACTGCACTATGAATACAGGGGGGAATAAAAGTGATTATTTTATTTTTTTCTCTCCCCCCCAAAAAATGCCTCTAATAAGATGACTATTCCCTTGTACCCGAGAATGTAACTTCTTTCCTCCAGGACCTGTTGTGAGCAGGAATTCTTTGTATTCTCCTTAAGAGGTAGGATAGTTTTTCTGCTGAAAAGACATGGTTTGCTTCCTCGCTTCAAGCCTGGCTAGTTATTATTGCTAGTGGGTAGTAAAACTAAGACTGTTTCTCTATAATTCACCTCAGTCCTCCAACACCTCTACTCTGGACAATTGTGAAAGTCAGAAAAAAGAAAGCAAAGGGTTTTCATGAAAAAAAGATATCCATAAATCCTATGGAGCACAACCTATAATACTCCATTACATATCTCAACATATCCTGTTATAACCATCTTCACCTGTCCTGTTAAAGACAAAACATTTGTAGCTCTAAAAGTGTGATTTAGAAAAGGGAATGGCTAAAGGAGAAATGACATACAAAAAAAATATTTTGATAAATTGAACAGAAATTTAACTTTATAGTCTTTTTCATTTCTGTGTTACCCTATCCTGCTCCTTACTGCACTGATTATGCTACAGCTTAAGAAAGTAGCTGCTTAATACTTCATGCTAATTTCATACTGACTTTACTCCCATCAGCCTTTAGCCGATGTAGACTTTACCAGGACACATTTTAATTACATTCTCTCTAAGGAAAAGACAGTTATTTTTCAGTTGTACAGATGGAGATTTTCATAATCAGAAGAAATTCCTTAGACGCATTTCCTCAAAACTGCCCTTTACTAACCTCAAAAAAACAAAGCAACAAACCTCTATCCTTCCTTAAGCACTCTTTATCCTTCCCAGTCTGACATCAGGGTGCTCCATAGGTCCTCTCCACCAGAGCTGGCTCAGTTCCCCAGGGCTGACTCCAAGAGAGTGTGTGGGTGTGCAAGCTCAGAAACAGCTTAAGGAAGCAGTCTTGCACTATGTACCCTTTCTTAATTTGTGCATACTTATTATCTTAATCGATATCTTGGTAATTAAAATCCTGCATGATCAATTTTGTGGCCTTCCTAGAGGCCTCTCTAATTTTAAAAAACATTTCCCAGTCCCCTAACTCTACATTGCTGTTGGCTGTTCCAAGAATCACCAAGGTCCCTCCTCTGCTTTCAAATTCTACAGAGACTGTCCTTGGCCATGTCAGCTAATATATTTTCTAAGACTTTTCATTACAAATTTAATAATATCATCCACTGATATTGTCAAGCCTCTGCTTGATTCTGCTTACTCTTCACTAAATGCAGTATTAAGCCCCCACTCATTTTCTTTACCCAGTTTTACCTCTGTTATTACACTAATAATACAACCATTATCTCTGAAGTGATTCTACCTACAGTCAATAGTCTTAAGCTCAAACCCTACTTCCTACAAAGCCTATGGGGCAACACCATTTTAAGAACACAAGATAGGCAAATAGTCCTTACTCTTGAGGACACATTCATACCTTAACATAGTGTCACAATCACAGTGATCAATACAGAGTAATTAATTTTAATTCTAAAGGCTCTATATCTAATAATCAGAAACCACGAAATGTGTCTAAAAAGTAAAGTGGAGAACCACACACAAAATGACTTCAAGTTTCTAGCTGGAGAACGTGAGCAGCCCAAAGAGGACAAGCAGTACTCGTGGGCAAAACAGAGGTTTTGGCTTTACTTGAAAGAGTAAACATTTCTGTCCCTTGAAGTGAATAGAGACTTTGTCCCTTCTATCCCCTATTCCTCCATTCCTTCCTCCCTAAAGAGAATAAGATGAGGTCATATGTACTGGGCAGTCCACACCACCCAGCTCTTATAAAGACTGTAGCTCTTTAATAATCCAAGTATTTGAACCAAGTACTGATATAAGGGTAAAATCTTAACTTTATCCTATTACAGCAACTATAAAAGCAGAAAGATTTCAAGATTTAGATTTCTATTTTCCTAAACTGGATGGGTTTGTTAGTTTTTGCTTCTGTTTCTTCAGGGGTTTGGGGGGAGGGAGTTGAGGTAGTGGGGTTTTGGGGCGTTGGGAGGGTGTGGGGTTTTTTTAATCTGAGAGCTGTACAGGGCAAAGAAATATTTCACAGTATGTTTTTGTACAGGACCTCATGCAATAGCTTTCTCTAGGTGCCAAAGAAATATAACATTAATAAGCAAACCATAATTTTAGGCTTTTCCTTCTGAATTTATCACAACTGCAGGAACTGATACCATTCAACATCAGTAAACAAAAATGTACATTTCCCTTTTTCTCATTTTTTAAGCAAAGAGTCTGAACTTCCTTTCAAATATCTCTGTTGGTTTTTTTTTTAATTATATTATTGGCACCAATATGCAATGTTGCAGAACTCTTCCTACTTATCCTGATAGACCAAAAGTTACATTTTCAGGATGCCCTTGTTCAGAGCTTCTGATCCTGATCTGATTGAAGTCAAATGACAAAACCCTCTCTGAATCCAGTGATCCAGGACCAAGTCTTACCCATTCTCCCAAAGATTCAGGTAGCATTTCCCCCTCCCCCATCAGAGCTCTTGCACTTGGGAAGTTAGAGTCTCTGCTGGTGAAAATTAACCAGCTCAGTTGTATGGACAGGTGTGGACCAATTCACACTATCTGAAGATTGAGGCTGAAGGCACTGTCATCCCTCTTATTAAAAAAAAAAAAAAAAAAAAAAAAACAAAAAAAAAAAACCAAAAAAACTCCACTAAAATAAAAGAAAGAGAAAGAAAATTCAGCAGCAAAAAGAAAAGATCATTCACTCCTTAATTAAGTGACCACATTGCTAATCAGATTTTCCCATGAAGATGCTTCAATTCCCCTCTGCACACTATAGGGGAAAAGCTAGCAGCTGTAGTATGGGCTGTTGAGATTTTTCAAATGTCCCTCAGAGAATTAGAGCTGCAAGATGATTTCTGCCAATTAATTCAATAGGCCAACAATTTTCAGCACTGTTTGTATGTTAGCTAGGTCTGCATTAAGAAATATGAAATGGCCACAGGGCCTACATCTGTTTCCCTAAATAACCAGCAAAGCACAATTATCATAAATTTTTGATTAAAACCACAGACCACTGTATTATTTTCACCCATGGATGTTCCTTATGAATACAGTTGAGAAGTCCTTTCACCACCAACACATAGATTTAAGACACCTGTGCTGAGCACTGCACAAGCAGACTAACACACAGAACATCACATTTCCCAACCAGTGCATAACAGCATTTCACTCATTGATTAATGCACCTTCCCCTGATTTTCATTTCCCCTCATTGTAATAAAGAATAAGATCATGCAGCAAAACTTCCTTCCCTTATGAAAATTTCCTACTGGCACTTGTATCCTCTCCTGTGTTCTACTCATACCAGCTCTTCTGACACTCTTCAACTTCTAACCTCAAACAGCAGCTCAGGCACTTCTTGCTTGAGCCTGAACACACCCCACAAATGAAACTCTTGGATGATCTTCCTGTCCACCATACCTACTTAGCTTTCAGCTGTCACCATAGCCAAGCAAATCCTAGAATTGTTTGAATTAGATGATCTTCAAGGTTCCTTCCAACCCAAACAATTCTATGGTTCTATGATATCAGAAGCAGGGACACCTTTCACTAAACCAGGTTGCTCAAAGCTCCATCCCACCTGGCTTTGAATACTTCCAGGGATGGGGTACCCACCACTTCTCTGAACAACCTGTCCCAGTGTCTTGCTGCCCTCAAAGCACAGAATTTCTTCCTAATATCTAACCTACATCTACTTTTTTTCAGTTTAAACCATTCCCACTTGTTCTATCACTATATACTCTTGTAAAAAGTCCCTCTCCAGCTTTTTTTATGGCCCTCTTCTGAACTTGCTCCAACAGGTCCATGTTCTTCATATGTTGGGGGACCTGGAATTGGATACAGTACTCCAGGTGTGGTTCCACAAGAGTAGAGTAGAGGGGTAGAATCCCCTCCCTCTACCTGCTGGCCATGCTTCTTTTGACTGGCTTTCTGATATGGCACATTAGTGGGTCATGTCAAGTTTTTCCTCCAACACCCCCAAGTACTCCTTCTCAGTTCCCAGAATAACAGCCTATGTAACTGATGCTGGATCACCCGCAGAGCTGGCCTCCACTCTTGTTGCACAGGGCCCCTTTTCCCACACACCTGGTATGCTATATGGCAGCATTGAGTGCTGGGGCCAGCTAGCAGAGCAGAAATTTAACCCAGCAACTATGAGCAGCCATAGAGAGCCTTCTGTCTATTTACTTTCTAGTAGCATTTTGTGAAGTACAAGTGCTAAGCAGCACCCTCATTCCTGAATTCAGCTGTAAGAGGTGAACAGTAGACTAAGGGAAGTAACTGATCCTTTGTAAACTCCATTCTTTCCAATTCACCATTGTTGGCTCATCTCCATAGTTCACTGTGGGGTTAAGGTAGCACTTAGAAGCAAGTTACACATTTTCAATGTGAAGCGTAAAAGACAAACAGCTACTTCTGACATGGTGAAAAGTGGCCTGGAAGACTCACGCTAATACAAGGGGACAGAAACAAAGGGTGGAAAGGCATCTCAGACCATCTTCCTGTCTAGATCCACACACAAGGATGAGATGAATATAGTATGTTTTTTTAATCTATTGCATATTTATTGCTGCACATACTTCTAGTCCCAACATGTCAAAAACTCTTCTAATAAATAGATCACTTTTACTAAAGTAGCCTTTCCTACATCTACATAACACTATTAAGGGTGTGCTATCCTACTTTATAAATCAAATTATTTTATTTCACCCACAGAAGGAAAACAAACAAACAAACAAACAAAAAGCACATGGTGGCTGTTCACCATATTAAGGTATCATCATATTTCTTCTCTTCAGCAGCTTCTAGTGTGGAGGGGTGAGGGGCACATTTGCTTCGACAAATCCCTCAAGTCGAATATTGCTTTGGCCAGCTCATTTCTCTCATGACTAGAGGTGGCTGGTGCCATCAGCATTACATTATTAACAGGAGCATTGCTTCAGCATTAAAAGGAAAAGGGGTTTTATGAGAACGTCATAATATTTCACAAGAGAAAGAACAACCAAGCTTTTAATGCCCATCAAAAACCACTTGTTTTTCTGATCTCTTTCTTTTTTAGCTGGCAATAAGTATTTGCAGTCAAGTTCAGAGAGGTTATATTTTTATCTCGGTTTTAAAAATATATTAAAAAAGAGTCAAAATATCAGAGGAATTCAAGGCAGAGAAGCACCTTGCAATTATTTGTTTTGGAGGCATTAGATCTGCTGACATGGCATTTAAAAAAATAACAAAACAAAAGGCCTTTTCCCTCTGAAAATCATTCTTGGATTTCAAATGTTTCCATTTAAAGGTAAAAGATACTTCTACTGAAAAATAAGTAAGCAGTTATCGGTACAAAACAAGCCCCTCCTCAAAAGGTTTTGATTTCCATTCCAGTGTTGTATTTGGAGACTTGCCTCCAAAGTGATCATCAGGGACTTAAAACCCCATATGCCAGTTTGCAAATTGTCTAAAGACAAAGTAGATGATAGATGTAATTTGCATATCCTCAGTAAAGAAGGATTTTTGTTTTGCTAAGCTTGAAATAGAATTTGACAGCAAGGGAAATTCAGACTTCTACTACAGCACTCACAACTTTTTGGAAGGATCACAATTCTGCCACATTTAAGGACTTTCTGAATGGTGCCAAGTGCCCGTGTTCTCGCTTGCTCAGAGAAAGGCTTGGAAGCTGAAGTGCACTCAGTACCACACAGAAAGTGAATCATGTTTTTAGGTCTTCTAAAGGAACAGCTTCTCCTCTCTCCACAAGTATATTGAGGATCAAGTCATCTTTTGACCACTGAGCAAAGCTGAGTACTCCATCCCTGCTCCAGCACAAATCCAGAGGAAAAAAATCCTGTTCTCTGTAGCTAAATTTGTCCTATTTTTGGAGGAATGCTTACTAACAGCAACTGTGATGATGATATCTGTGAGATCTGCCTATCATACTGATATTGTCTCACTATTTGCTTGGATTCAGACAGCTTTGTCATCAACTCTGGTATGGAAACGGTGACTCTTCTCATTGCAGAAACCTTGTTTTGATCCCATATTTGTACAGCACCTCACACAACAGTCATGGTCTGCAGCTGGAACTTCTAACCACGTCATACAATAAATACATAGTTCGATCTAAATTTTTTCCACATGTATCACACAGATCTTCTGTCAGTTTCTTGCTGGAAAGGAAAAAAGTTCACCTCTACAGGAGTTTATTTTTACCATAAACATTTTGACAGTTTGAAAAAGAAAAGACAGGTGGTTAAATGAGGTGGTGGTATTTTGAGAAAAGTAAACAAGCAATCAGAATAAAGAGCAGTTATTCTACAAGACATTACTAGTCAGCACTGTGTCTGGCTGGGATGGACTTAACCTTCCTCATAGCAGCCCACATGGTGCTGTGTTTTGGACTTGTGGCCAAACCAGTGTTGATAATATACTAGTGCTTTAACTATCACTCGAAAGCCTTACACAGCGTTAAGATCTTCTCTTTTCCCACCCTGTCATCCTCAGCAATTATGTTAGGGGTGGTTAAAAGGTTTGGATGGGATGCTGCCAGGACAGCTGATTCAGTTTGTCTAATGGGATATTCTATACCATACAGTGTGATGCTCAGGTGTGTTTCCAAGCTGCCATTGCTTGGAGACCCCCTAGGTATCGATCTGCTGGTGGTGAGTGACTGATTTTGCATCACTTTTTTATTTTTATTTACACAGACGTGCACACATGCACACACACACTTATTAAACTGGTTTTAACTTGACCCATCAGCGGCTTTTTCTGCCTATCCAGTTCTCTCCCCCACCCCAGTGCAGGGGAGCTGGGGGAACAAGACACTGCTTGGGAAGTTAATCTATCAGCTGGAGCCAACTCAAAACAGTCTCTTTCAGGTACACCATGTGGGGCTCAAGATAACTATATATTTTATCAGAATGTGCTAGACTGCGTTCACAGTTGTTACACCTGCTTAGCCATTGCTTGCCAAGTTACTACTTGCTGTTGCTGGCCACAGTGTCGATATTCTTGTTCTCGGCACTGGTTTTCTTGTTCCCTTACCTGCTCCCTTTACTGATACACACAAAATTTCAGGACTCAATAATGTCTGCTTTTTGCTTTTCCAGTGTAACCAACACTACATGGGGTAAGTTGTTAACACTGATCATATGATGGGTTTGACTGAGGAACCCCAACCACACAAAAATCCAAGAAGAGGTCACACAAACTGAGCAGAATGCAGATATTTTGGATACCACGCCAAAGAGCTGACTCATGCCACAAAAGGCCCCACTGTATAATAAATTGACAGAAAATGGGAATCAATATGCTCTGTTTACTGATGTGTCCCATCATATTTTGGAAAAGCATCAGAAGTGGGAAACTGCTCTGTGGAGTCCCATATAACATGTCTCAAAAACTGCTAAAGGAAAAGGCGGATCAAGTCAGTTTGCAGAAATAAAAGCCATCCAGTTGGCTCCAGATATTGCTGAATGAGAAAAGTGGCCAACACCATCCCTATACTGACTCTTGGTTGATGGCAAATAGTTGTGGGGGTGCTACAGCAAGCGGAACAGATCAACAGGCAGCATAGAGGTAAATCTATTTGGGCTTCTGCACTGTGGCAAGACACTGCTGCCGATGTAGAGGACCTTACTGTAAAGGTACATCATGGAAGTTCTCAAATATGCAAAAGCCATGCCAATGAAGAGTGTCAAAACCATGAGCAGGTAAACCAGGCTGCTAGAAAAGAAGACGACATTTCCACTATCTGAAAAATAAATGGCAAGCTGTCAAACAGATATGAAGTTGTTTTGAGAACAGACAGGAACAAGTGTTTAGGATAAAGAACAGCTGTTCTCCAGACATTGTTAGACAATGCCAGTTGTCTAGAGAAAGCATAACAAGGAGCATTAATAATTTTGCAGTATGGAAGCAAGAAGTTAGAAAAACACAGTTTACAGAGACTGCCTGAACTGTTCCCCTCAAACAGAATGGGGGGAAAAAAAAAAAAAAAAGAAGAAAAATCACACCTCAGGAATGCACTGTGGACTTGTACAGGAATGCAATGAGGACTAGTGGCTTTTGGGAGTCAAAGGCTATATCTATACTGAAATATTGAGAGACTGACGCATTAGAAGAACCTGCTCAGGGACAATTGCTGCCCAGGCTGTTTTTCTCTCAGCCTTGTCTCTGACAGACCTTCCCAGTTTACCTAGAGGGGACCTTGACGTAAGCACACTTGAGCTCTCCTCCTCAAGAACACTTCAGAAAACTCTACGCTGAGCAAACACTTGTACATGATCAATATGAATGTTAGATGTACTAGGACTTGAGAATTCAAACTCTCCCAGTTCAGTCAATGTCAGGAGAACATAACAGACAGGATGAGTTCTGTGTTTAATGCTGAAGCTCCTAGTTTAGAGGCAAGCCTGAAAACCAAGAAAATCTTTTTTTACAATTAGATAGTGACATTCAAATCAGGTATCATTTAATATT